GCCGTAATCCAGTTCATCCTCGTCTCGGAAATTCAGCCAGCTTGCTTTCTTCTTCGTCACCGGTAATTCGGGAACTTCTCGTCCGTAGCACTCTCCGGGAAGACCCTGTCACCTCGGACGCCGAGAGTCCCACTCTACTGATCGGTGAGGATTCTGCTGCTTTTGAATTAGGGAAACAGAAGATTGTTTCCTGGGTTTATTTCGGCGTTGTCCTTGGAGTCGTTCTCTTCATCCTCAACGTTGTTTGGATCGATAATTCCACTGGTTTCGGAAAATCATACATCGATGCCGTCTCTAACATCTCTGGCTCACCGGAGGTATGCAAAATTTATAGTAACTGAAACCAATTTGAAGGCAAATTTTGCGTTATTTGACTGTAAAACCACTCTTTTGCAGGTTGCTATGTTATTGCTTATCCTCATATTTGCAACTGTACATAGTGGATTAGCTAGTCTCAGGGATATAGGAGAGAAACTCATAGGTGAACGAGCATTTCGTGTTCTGTTTGCTGGAATCTCTCTTCCCTTAGCTATGAGTACCATTGTGAGTACTCTCACACTTTTTTTTCTCTGGATCAATGGAGAAAGATCTGTTTGAGTTATTCAGGATTGATTGCTTTGGTAATTCTTTGGGTCTATGCATTGCCTTGTTCTTCCTTTCAGGTTTACTTTATAAACCATAGATACGATGGGTCACAGCTATGGCAGCTTCAGGGTGTTCCTGGAGTTCATGAAGCTGTTTGGGTTGCTAATTTTGTATCCTTCTTCTTTCTTTATCCTTCAACCTTCAATCTTCTGGAGGTAGCAGCTGTTGATAAACCGAAAATGCATCTGTGGGAAACCGGCATCATGAGAATCACTCGACATCCGCAGGTACTGAACATTACCCTAATATGCCTTCATTTCAGCACAATCTTAATCCATTTGCTTCATTTCTGTGTTTCAAAAGCTTGACAATATATAGAAAGATTGGATCTTTAGCTTTAGACTTTTAGTTGACTCTCTCGTTAGTTTCATGTTCAACATTATGTACCATAATCGGAACCAAGGTTTTATTAGCGTCTGTGTTAATGAGACCGGAAATTGGCCATAGCCCTAATATATACTTGATTACTCGATATTGCTTTTGATCCTTAACTCTAATCCAATTGCTTCATCATGTGAGAACTTGATAACATATAGAAAGATGGGTTTTCAAGCTTTAGTTTTGGTTTGCTCTTCTCTCTTCTTCATCTTTAAGAACAAAGATTTATTCTACTGGCTGTGTTAATGAGACCTTATTATTGCACATCTTTTCTCTCTTTCTCTTCTCCAGATGGTTGGACAAATCGTTTGGTGTTTGGCACACACGCTCTGGATTGGAAACACAGTCGCTGCATCAGCCTCTCTTGGTTTGATTGCGCACCATTTGTTTGGGGCGTGGAATGGAGACAGGAGATTAGCTAAAAGATACGGAGAGGCTTTCGAAAGCATTAAAAAGAGAACAAGTGTGATTCCTTTTGCTGCCATTTTCGAAGGACGCCAAGTTTTGCCTGAGGATTACTACAAAGAGTTTGTTCGGTTGCCTTATCTTGTAATCACTGCGTTAACGGTTGGGGCATATTTTGCTCACCCGCTAATGCAAGGTGCAAGCTTTAGGCTTCATTGGTAGATTCTGTCTTGTTTATCGCAATGTTCATATGAAGATTGTAAAAACTTCTGTATAATTTACTTCACAAAAAATGTATAAATACAAAAAAAAAAAAACCCTATTATTAGTAGTTGGAAGCCACAATATAAATTGAGAAATGCAAAGTAAACATAATGCTAAAGCTACTAGGAATTTAGTTTTCTAGTTTCATTATT